ATATATATATATATATATATATATATATATATGTATATATGTATATATGTATATTTACTCTCCCTGTACAACTATTTCTGCTATTTGGCACATTTTCAATGTTTTCAATTTTAATATGTGTGATTTTGGCAATTTCGTTCTGAAATACCACTAAAACTTGCCATAAATGGTATATATTAAAAAGGTAAGTAAACAGTAGTTTCTACGTATTTAAATAGGTCAGACAAATTATCTTGTTCGTATAACTAAAGCATTACTTCTGAGATTTTATATATGAAGTACAGTACAGATATTCAAAGTTGATATTTTGCAGTGTTCACATACTGAAATATGCAAATAATACAATATTAGCAATAAATGAATAGATTTTACTTAAGGCAAATTTTGAAAATTAATGCTTTGCTTGCTGATAAAGCGCTTGAGAAGTATGAAGCAATAAATAAGTATAAGCGAAAGTAAAGTGTAAATGTTTTTGAATGGAATGACTAGCTTAGTTTAAAACTTTCTTTACAACTTTCTTAACCATTAAGATTTTTTACAACTTTAAATGAATTTTTAAAATTGTGCACAAAATTTTATGAATGGCTAGTGCGTAACTGACACTGACATAACTGAGTGAGGTATTATGGTGCTATGCTAGTGAGTTACTTCTCATTTATCTTTCTATTGTGCAGTACTTTTTTTAAATATATGACATTTAGCAAATACCAAATTAAGGTCAACATTACTGAGCATTTTTTGCGATATTCATGTTTTCGAAGGATTTTTGAAATGTTCTCTAGGGTTTCACTAATTTTCACAAAAATTGTCTACTGCTCACTTGAGAAGTACACTGCCATCGGCATCACCATTATCATCATGCTCGCTATCATTATTGTCATTTTATCATGTGCTCATCATCATTATCGACCGTGTTTGCAAATACTGATCGTGACAAGATGAGGACAATGATAACGAATCAGATTGCCTTTTATTGCTTTATGCCACTGCAAGAGTGTTACCAACTGCTGTCATGCATGTGTGTGCATAAAACAATAAACATTTATAGCATTAATTTTTTGTATTATAAATTAGCAAAAGATAATGACAAATTTTAAATATGAAGAACACAAATATGTTATCAGTTTGATGTTTCAATTGTAAACAGTATAGAATCACTAATTCAGAAGACAAAATACTACAACTAATTATTAAGAATTGTAAATTTAGTCATTCAATCCACTCAACTAACCATCTAGCCATCTATCTCTTTATTAATTGTCACCGACCAAAAATATCTGAGCAATCTACAGCTTGCATCGTTGCTATGCCATGCCTTGCTAAGGCTTACTTAGTGTGCCTTGTCATATCTTGCCTACTCATGCCTTGCCATGTCTTGCCATGCCTTGCTAAGTCTTACTTAGTCGTGCCTGCCTTGTCATATCTTGCCTTGTCATACCTTGCCATGCCTTCTCATTTCTTGTCATGCGTTTGCTTTGCCAATCGTATAATAGAGCAAATAGATAGATGAATGGATAAGTTGTTGATGGAAAGTATGTTTAGCAATTAACGAAAGTAAAACTTAATGCACAAATTAGTGCCACAACGAGTGATAAACCAGGTAGACATATGCTGTGAGAGCATACTGTATACTGTATACTGTTTGTTAAGTTAAATGATTATTTTTAGTTACAGAATTCTTTTCAATTTTGAAGATATTTTATCACATTCATTCGCGTATTTTGTCAGACTTTATCGAATATGTAAACACAAATATATGCATGCAACATAATCGATATTGCGAATCGATGCAAGCAGTGAAGTCATTCGACTAGCAATTGGTGAGTTTACGTTAAATGAACACTTCAGTCATTGTTGTAAGTGATTATTTTAGACTTTTATGCTTACTACAAAGATACGTGTGCAGATAAAGCTTATGTCACGTGGATGACTCATTCAGTACCTAATCAGTTCAGAATTATTCATTCTTAATTATCATTCAAAGTTCACTTTTCCTTTTCTTTATATTGCTGTACTTATTAGCTGTTATGTTTTGGTGTGATCCAGTACCTTATTAGCTTATTCTTATCCAGTTTAGCTTTATTTGATGGGATAAGTAGATAGCATTTCGTTACCATCAAATCGATGTAACTTCACGTGGGAGTAAGTAACATCTGATAGAACCTTTATTAATTCAGTACTTGTACTTTTATTTTGTCATTTTTCGTAATTTAAATTAACTTCCATAAAACAAGGCAAACACTTCATGTTTAGCAACAATATGAAAAGTGAAACGGCTACGTTCATATTTATCAAAAATCAATTGCGTATTTAATCTATTAATTAAAGATAAAAAATATAAATCACTACGGAATATTGACAAAATTTAAAATATTGTAAATTGTTTTGGTTTTTGTTCTATTTTTAACATCTATATTTAATATTTGGTTGCATCTGATATCAGTTATACCTAAGTATAAATGACTTTTCTCTCTCATTATTTATTATTATTATTATTGATATTATTATTATTATTTTATTATTATTACTCTATTATTATTATTATTTTTTTTAAAGTTAGCAATGGATTAAAAAAGCGGGCAATGCTAAGACTACGTCGTTACATTTTTTCTATTGATTCATTTTTGAAAGCTTTGAAATGGATGCAAAGTATAATCGTATAGAAATGCAAAGCATGAAATTGAATGTGTTTATTTATCATAACAAGTTGATGTGCATAGCTTCTCATGCATACTTGTATACTTTATGATGCCTTATGTGTAATGGCACGTGTTGTGTCATTATAGTATGTATCGTAACTGATGACTATGAAATTTTCATTTTCTCAAATAAAAATTAGCATTCTATTTTTCACCTCATATGAATCTTTGCTAAACAGTCATTTCAAATCAGTTATGCTGCGTAATGTTTGACTTGTTTAAGTTTTTTGTAGGTGGCCACATCTTTGTAATAATGGAAACTGTAAGATAACATGAAAAAATGACATCACATAGAAAATTTGGCAGAATGTTTCTGTGAGCGTTAAGAGTGAAAAGTGAGTATGCATGAGTGTCCCGTAGTTCTCATTATACTTGTTAATGTTTTCCATTCTCGAACCGTGAGTTTTTGAGATTAATCTGAGCTGAGTCAACACTATAAGTCATGTATGTATGTATCATCTATGTGTGTATTTGAAGTACTGTTTTGCATGACTGATTTTGCAGTATTTTTTTTCACTCAAATGTTCACTTAGGAACAGGATTTTATACCTTTTCATCTTAATTCGCGAACTAATAAACGTCTTATTCTCATGTTTGATTGCACAGTATTTGCAGTTTATGCTTGTATCGCTTTTTTTAATTATTCATTTCTGCTGAGTGTTATTGCGTTGCATTCACTATAATTCAAGTCCCACGTTAAGAAACCCCTACTTCTACTTTTATTTTTTGCTTGCGTAAACTTTTTATACAATACTATAAGTTACTTTATTTAATTATGTTTATTCTTAGTACCTCCTGTTGTAGGAATCATTTATTTTAACCTAAATTATTTCTTGCTTATATTTGTTTGACACGTAAGATTTATGCGATGTTTTTTTAGCTTTTTCTCTCAACACTTTACATTTTAGGTTGTCTATGCCACGAGTGTACCCATAGCCGTGGATGGGCGTTTTATTATGCCCTCGGTAGTAATGAACGAAACTAACGGGGAGCGTACAAAGCTTTCTTTATTAAATATATACAGTAAGTTCATTTCTCATATGCTTTGAAGTAGAACCAATATTTTAATGATAGCATAAAACTTTTTTTGATTTATACCAAATATTTTTTGATAATGCTGTTTTAATTTGTTGAAGAATAATTTTTTCACTCGCTAATTTATTTTCCTGAATTCTCTTGCTTCTTCTATTGTAAAGAATTGCCTGTATTATTAATCGTTTCAGGTTATCTTGAAACGAGTTACTATTAAAATCTAGAAAATTAAATCGCTTTAAAAGCATGATATTTCGATCTTTTCTAGTTATATCAGCAAAGCTTCATGGTACGGTTGGATTCTTTAGCAAACCTCCAGACGTTTATGTTGAGCTGCTCGTCGATTCAGCCACTTCCAAAAAAACTGCAGTGCGGAAAAAGACAAATGCACCACAATGGGATGAGCAAATGCAGGTTATTATACTATAATAGTTGCTTTTAGTCCTTTTTTTAATCCTAAAGAATCTCAATAAATAGCAGTTTTTTTAATGACACATTCAAATATATATAAGGCGCTAAAATTAAAGTTCCTGACGAAACAGCTACTCTATAAATCGAGTATCAAGGATTATTTATCAACTTTATTTGTTCTGAATCACATATGAGTCTGAATCTAGCCTAATACTCGGATTCGAGAATTTCTTTATTTTTACATCCTGGTATATCCATCACAATTATGTAATAATATTTGTAAGATGCTATAAAATTTCGCCTCATTTGTTACGAAGGATTTATGATTTTTTTATCCAAGTTATCTGCTATCGTAAAATTCTTAAAAAAAAAATTAGTTACTAAATTTTCGATTTTGTTTTTATGCAAGCATTTTCTTTTTAAATGGACAGGTTCGAGTAAATGAATCATCAGTTCTTGAATTTCGTGTATTCGGGAAATCAAAATTGTTCGAGGATTCATTAATCGGTCAAAAGATTTTAAAAATGTCTCATGCACTCAAAAAAGAATCAGATAATGGAAAATGTAAGTACATGGTATTATCATTTCAAATTCTTGTTTCAATGTTGTCCAGCTCATTGATCATTCTTTTCAGTTTAGATTTTGGAAAAAAAACGCAATTTTGTCTGTTAAATGTGTAGTTGTCTACTATTCAACTGATTTTTTATTTGCTTCTTCAAATATTTAATATTCATCTTATATTTCATTAGTTAAAAGCAAACTAGAAGCAGTTCATTTAGTCTTCATTTACTAAATGTGATTGTATTCATCTTTGCTTTGCATATTTGTACTTTAGCTGTTTTTGAAGCTATCTTTTTTGGTTTTATTTATGGCTTTAGTTAATATTAAGCTGTCTTCATAAGTTAATAATTGTGTACTAATGTATTGTATCTATATTTATTGAATATGTTGACCTGATTGTAACAGGTAAAAGTTCCAATATTTTTTATGCATTCACATCAACTTTAAAACCGAGTTTTTTCTTTTCACATCATTGGTTATTCTCTCATATTGAATATCATTATATTTTTTCATGTGATAACTAGGTCTCGTTGGAAAAAAAATCATGATAAATATTATTAGTTTTCAAAAGTATTAGTTTTGCAGCCCAAGTAAAAATTACTTGATTGATTTCTTAATTACAAACAATATCACTAATTTTCAGTTGATAAAACCAAATTGGCTTTACAACTCTCTTCACCGAAGGACACGACAAAAGTAGGCGAATTGAAAATTCTATTGTCAGGCACGGTTGAGCGTTTAAAAAAGAAGAATGTAGGTAAGTATGGCTAATATTTTTGCTTTTATGAATTAAAAACTATATTGTTTGTAAGATATGAGAGTTGAGCAAGGTGAGCAGGTTTTTGAATCTCATTTTTCTTTTTATCTTTATCAATTTATTGCATATATTTGCTCACCATTTCGTGCTCGTAATACGCAGACCTTTCAATTTTTGATTTATCAGAATAGCTGAGCATTAAACATGTGAGATTTTCCATCACAAATTTATATTTTTTTCGTTTACTAATTGACTTCAAGAATATGACTTCATGAGTAGATTTATTGCTGTCATACTTTCTTCTAATCCTTACAACTAAAATTCAGGTTTTTGCTTGAGGAGCAGAAAAGTTACTATGCTATGTAAGTGTTATTTTCTAGGTTATAGCTATGTTATGTTATATCACACAGTGGTTTAAATTTTAATGAATGTGTGAAAATTAAATGTGACTGCGTAAGACTTTGCTTTAAATAGAGATGTAGGCAAATTTGTCTGAATTTAAATTGCTAACTAGATTAGCTGTGCAGAAAATTCTTTAGTTAAAATTTTGTGTGATCTGATGCAATGTGCAGTAAAAATTATACATGATCAAAAAGGATAAGTTCTATTTCATCTAGAACATGAGAAATTTGAGCACAAATGTTGAGAGCTCACGCATTAATCTACTTTTTCACGTATTAATTTAGTTTTATTATGTGTGTTGCTAGTCATTTTTATGGCAGTCTTGTCTGACATCACCTAGTAACGAAGTGTTGATTGAGAGAGATTATTTGAACTTAGGAGGGGAGTTAATGCAATTGCTGAATGCAAGCAGCGCGCTTTCTATTTGCGATGAGAAAAGAAATGTAATGGTTGAAAGAGTTTGCAGAGATGGTAGTTGGGATTTTAAATACAAAATGAATTGATCGATGTATATTTTTCAATTTGTAATTTTCATATTCGTTCTTCTTAGAAAGAGCTCACGTATTAATTCACTTCTCTTTACGTGTATAAGGATTTATTTTGTTGCTGTGTTTCTGCATTGTGATCAGTTCGTTCATTTCTCCACTCTTTAAAAACAAGTTTTAATTTGGTACTGCTATCGTTTCGTTTATTTATCTCTCTTCCTGCATCGCATTCCTGCTCTTCTATCGATCATTCCAGTTTGCACATGAACGCTACGCATGGTTTATTCACTTCTTTGTCACACTGACTTATGTTTTTTTCATAATTTTATTCTAACGCTTAATATTGTGTTTAAGAATGTATATCATCGTGTAGTATTGCTTCCAGTAGTGGCGTCTTCTTCAGTATTATTTTTTAATTAATATTATTAACAAGAATATATTTATATTTAAACTTATTATTATTATTATCACGTATTAATATTGTTGCACCTTGGTGATGGCGCAAAATAATTTATTAATTTGTCTTAATGCTCACAATTTTTATTATTTGTTTCGTTCTGTTTTGTAGTAATTTTATCATTTTCACGATAATTAATAGACTTTTTTCCGTCCTATCAATGATTCAAAATGAATGGATTTTTTTTTATATTGCTATAGTGATAACTTTGAAATAACATTTGTATTTTTTTTGTCATGCTTCATTTTTAGCCTCAAACTTATATCAGTTCGAAAAATTTTAGTCATTCTAAAACCCAATGTATTCTTTCATTGTTCATATTTTTTTAACAAATCTGTGAAATTAGTTTTTAGGAATTAGTTATTGTTCTTCCTTATCATTCATGTACTTTGCACTCAGAAATTATCGCCTTCAAATGAGTTACTAGTCTTAACTTATTTGTCTCAATGAATTAGTGTTATTTCATTGAAGTGCTATGATTAAGATATTAATTAAAATATTTTTTTTAATATTTTAGATCATTTTTTCAACAAAATTTTAAGTTAAAAATTTCATGATTTCAGTTGCATTTTTGTTGTTACTTTGGTTTCACATCTAAGACGAGTTATTGAGTTTTATTTTTCGAGGGCAAATTTTCAATTTCTTTAGAGCATTAACTTTACAAAGTTTCAGAAAAAAGATATTCAGGTAGTCGTGGTGGGGAAGGACACGTCGGAGAAGCATCTACATCTTGTCCGAATAATATGTCAAATGGAGTTTCTAGTCCTGCTACCATCGTTACTGCTGTGACGAATAATGGTGCCCGCAAGAGTAACTCTGGTAGTTTTTTAATCATATTTCCGTACCGTTGTTTTAAATAAATTTTTGATATTTTTTTAGACGAAGCTGTTTAGTTATTATTTAATCGGAATTGTTTTTAAGGATTGGTCCAATACAAATAATAACTTCATGCTTGTTGTTTTAGGAAAGGGCAGGGATACAATGCTTTCACAACCTGCAAGTGGTTCACCAGTAGTTGAAGATCCACTACCTGAGGGATGGGAATTACGTTATGATGCCTATGGTCGAAAGTATTATGTTGACCATACTACTAAGAGTACAACTTGGGAACGCCCAAGCACAACGCCATTGCCATCTGGGTAGATGTTGCTTATTTATCACGATACTCTAAATTTTTGTATGGGACAAGTATGCAATACATCCATGTATTACGACAACTTTACCAAAATATCATTAATATTACATCATTGATGTTCTGTTTTGATTTCACTCGTTTCAATGAGCAGTAATTGGTTATGTTTAATAAAGGTTGTTTATTTCTAAACAACGTTTTTCACAGGTCTACGGGTTATTTATTTACATTTTTTTTTGTCAAGTAACACAATATAATTGTAGCTGGGAGATGAGACGTGATCCTCGTGGTCGGGTTTATTATGTTGATCACAATACGAGAACAACAACATGGCAAAGACCTACAGCTGATATGATAGAAGCGCATGAATTATGGCAATCCAATAGGGATCAAGCTATGCATCAGTGGGAGCAAAGATATTTGTTACAGGTCTCAGATTTTGCAATCTGTGCTTTGTTGGTGATTACTGTTTAAAATAGATTCACTGATTATATTTTGTACTTGCACATTGGTTTTTGTTTTATTCGTCTAAATTAATGTTTTCTTTTTTGTAGTAAGAACAAGCGTTTTGAATTTTCATTATAGCGTGAAAAGTCATGATAATATGCTTGGTTGGTATACTAATACATTATCACAAGTTTGCTGCTAATAAGTTATTAAAAGTACTGTGTTTCAATAGTAGAGTAGTAGCTTTTTATTGTTAATGATTTGTATCTATTTTGTTTTGTCTTTTCAGTCAAATACAATGGTATCAAATGATGATCCGATGGGACCATTACCAAATGGCTGGGAGAAACGTGCTGATCCAAATACTGGACGGATATATTTTGTTAACCATGTCAACAGAACAACTCAATGGGAAGATCCCCGCACTCAAGGGTTTGTTATAGATGTGCTTGTGTTAATACCTTGTAACACAATTATTCTTATTAGAGAAAAGATAAATAATTAGTGCTTTAAAGATTCTAAATGGAACTGCTTTCGGCGAACTCTAGTCTTCATACAAATAGTATACTATTTGAAATAGAAAATGTATAATCAAAGCGTAAATGAATCGTAGTTTTTGACCAAGACATTGACAAAGCGTTACGTTTATTAACTTACTACGTCACCTGTTTATGTTTATTTTTTTCACTGACTTCCGATCTGTCTGAAATTTTGGGACGAAACATGAAAAATTGAACAAATTCAGAGCTTTTTAAAATTTTTTCATGATTGTTCTTGATGATCTAATTTGCAGTGTTTCGGATGAGCCTCTTCCAGAAGGATGGGAAATGAGATTTACAGAGCAAGGAGTGCCTTTCTTCATTGATCACAACACAAAATCGACAACTTATAATGATCCTCGTACTGGAAAGCCTGTAGGACCACTGGGTGCCAATGGGTTGCCTATGAGCTTCGAAAGAACGTTTAGGTGGAAAATTGCCCAATTTCGTTATCTCTGTTTGGTAAGTCATATGTCAAGATTTTACACTAAATAGTAATTCAACCTTCACATAACTTTTGTCTTAAATTCCGGCTAATAAACAGTGCTCTTCGAAATGAGATTTTTGAAAATCTTCCTTGACTTCTTTTAAAGTTTGTTTTCAGTCGAATAGCATCCCAAATCATGTGAAAATCACTGTCTCACGGAACAGTCTGTTCGAAGATTCATACCAGGAGGTTATTTATCAGTATTTTAGTCTAAATCATTGTGCATTAAAGTTGGTGATCGATATATCAGTGTAAATGGCCCAGAAAATTTATAGATTATGAGAAGGAATCCTGTTGATCTTCGAAGACGTCTTTATATACAGTTCCGAGGTGAAGAAGGTCTAGATTATGGTGGTGTAGCAAGGTACTATTTTTCATCGAAAGCTGTTTAGTATTTTGACTATTCTATATTCTCTAGTATATGTCTTCAAATTTTTCTTTTTTGTTAAATTGTTCGTGAAAAAAATTAAATCTAGCATTAGTAAACAAGAAAGATTTAGACAATTTATTCGGAATAGAATTAACATACTAAAGATATTTTCTTATGAAAATAAAAAAAGAGTAAAACAAAATTCTCTTGTTTGCCCGCAAAAGGGAGCTTGCCAATTAGAATAATAAACAGATTCTAATAGCAATCACCCAACAAATTGCTCGTTTTGTTCTTTGTACATATTTGGTTGTGTTTGGAACCGGAGCCAAAGATTGGCTTCTCCCGAAAATGACGATTTTTTATTTTGCATCTAGAAGACTTTTGTGTGTATATAAATCCAGGTTTGATATTTTTTTTCCAACTTTAAAAATTTATTGCTCGAATGGAGAGTTATGGTAGCTTGGTAAATAATGTCTATATTGTAAAAATATTTTTGCAGGGAGTGGTTCTTTTTATTATCGCATGAAGTGCTGAATCCGATGTATTGCTTGTTCATGTATGCGGGAGCAAATAATTACAGTTTGCAGATCAATCCTGCTTCATTTATTAATCCTGATCATTTAAAATACTTTGAATATATTGGACGATTCATTGCCATGGTATCTTTTTAGATGGACTAGGAGATCGTGTATTGTGATCTGCGATATTTTATAAAAATACAGAAAAATATGACCATTTACAGTTTAACAATTTTCTAGTTGCAGAAGTCTTATAGATATTTTAGGCTCTGTTTCATGGCAAATTTATCTACAGTGGATTCACGATGCCTTTTTATAAAAAGATGCTCAAAAAGAAGCTTACACTGAAGGATCTGGAAAGCGTAGATGCTGAATTTTACAACAGCCTGATGTGGATCAAAGAAAACAATGTTGATGAATGTGACATGGAATTATATTTTGTTGCAGATTACGAATTATTGGGAGAAATTCGCACACACGAACTGAAAGAAGGTGGTAGTGAGTTGGTATGTTGTGACGCATTTTTTAATAAGTTTTGTATAATTTGTAATTGAATCGTAATTGATATATTATTTATTTAGGCATTAACAGAGTGCTGTGCACGAATCATTTGGCAGTTTTAATGATCCATATCATATTTTGCTGAGTGTTTGATCAGCTTTTAAATTTACATTGAAATATTCTTGTGATTTATGCTTAAAACTCTGTCATAGTCGTAACGAAATAATATCAGTTTTTGTTTAATAGAAATGACGATAACGTGATATCAACTTTGATTCTACTGATAGATTATGTAGTTATTTTCTTTTGAAGTTTGCAGAAAAAAGCGTGAAAATGATTTCAAACCTGTTGGTTTGTTAATTCGCTGCTTTTGATATTTCAGTATAATCTAGTCCAATTATTAGCTCGTGTCCCATTATTATAAAATGTATCAATTGAATTCTCACTTTTTAAAAAATGACTGCATATCAGTCATCCTGGTGGTCTAATTAATTCAAAATGTTTTTTTAGAAGGTTTGCGAAGAAAATAAAGAAGAGTATATTGATTTATTAATGGAATGGCGTTTCAATCGTGGTATTGAACAGCAGACGCGGGCATTTTTCGAAGGTTTCAATTCCGTTTTCCCTCTTGAATGGTTGCAGTATTTTGATGAGCGCGAACTAGAACTATTACTTTGCGGAATGCAAGATGTCGATGTTGATGACTGGCAACGGAATACTGTATATAGGCATTATGCGCCACAAAGTAAACAGGTATCTCACGATTGTTCAAACAAATTCAGTTGGCAGTTATTATAATAACTGTATCGCGTCAGATAAACGTGGTTCAATATGTTAAGCAAAAGTTTGAAATCATTTTATGAAAGCATATAAATGGCCCTATTCATTTGTTTCTAGGTGCAGATTTTGATTATCATTCTAAAATTTCTGTGTTAGAAAGACTTGTAATTCGTAATGCAAAATATAGAGTTAGTTAGTGAAAATAAATGTGAGCATGTTTCCATAAATTTTTGACTAAAGTCTGCCAGAAACAAAAGTGAAAAAAATCAAGCTATAATGGCAATATATTTTTTTAAATAAATGATGCTTATTATTCGAAATTTAGGTTTTATGGTTCTGGCAGTTTGTGCGATCACTAGATCAGGAAAAGCGTTCGCGGTTATTGCAGTTTGTAACTGGGACTTGTCGTGTACCTGTTGGCGGATTTTCTGAGTTGATTGGTTCAACAGGACCGCAGCTGTTCTGTATTGAACGAGTTGGTAAAGAAAATTGGTTACCACGATCGCATACGTGCTTTAATAGGCTTGACCTGCCACCATACAGGTCATATGAGCAGTTAGCTGAAAAGCTGAATAGAGCTATCGATGAAACGGAAGGTTTTGGAAATGAATGACTATATGATTGGTCTATATTGCGTATATTTTTTTAAAATTGCTGTGTGCTTTTTTGGGTTTCTATTTTTTATTTAATGCTAAACAATATTTCGATTATCCATCAGTCATTACTTGATCCGGTCAAACCAATAGTTGTGAAACTTTTGTAGTTATATCTGGTTATTCGGGTCCCGATACGTGTGCTCCTCTTTCTAATGTACCATTAATTATGTATTAAGTAAAATTGCTGATTTGCTTTTATGGAATTGTCTTTATTAATTAATTTCCTTCGTTCTAATGTTTAACTAAGTCTTTCATTCACTTGATGAAAAGAAATCTTCTTGGCAATTTTTTAATCTTTTTTTTAGTTGATAAGGCGCTTGGAATACACAGTTTATGATTATTGGGCTTTCGAGACCGGTGACTTTTTATTTTCGAAACGGTTGTAGTAATGTGATTACTTCGAATTAGTCTGGCGATAAATCTACTTGATTTTTGGTGACATTTTATGAAACGTGTGCATAAATTTGGTATTAAAACTATTAATGATGTGTACTGCGAGATATGCTTAGTAGTGGGAATTGCTCAGGTCTGTTTTGTTTAGACAAACTGTAATATATTTAGTCTACATTTTATGTATTATGTTTCTGAACCAGTTGTCATTATTAATCTTTTTGGGATTAGTATTGCAATTCCTAAAGGGATTATAATCCGCATAAAGCTAATTAGTAGCCAGTGCGCTGAATACTCGACTCATGACTTGGCTTGAGAAATACACCATGTAGTTAAGTGTAAACGCTACAACTGCAGAAGGACGAAATATCTATATCTTTATCAAATACGGCATATTATATGAAACGAGAGATTCAGTTTCATTAACAAATGTCTTGACCAAAGCTAAGACAAATTTTGCTACAATATCAATGTTAATATGAAAATAAGTTGACTTATAGTTTTAAGCAATACTCATAAAAGGAATAAGATAAATTACGATTCCACCACAAATTGGGGTACATAATCACGCACAGATACCACTCACAATGGCTCGTTCTGAAACCACCGGTGCAAATATCCGTTTATGATTATTCGGTGCAAATATCCGGGTACACTGATATAACTACCAGGGTAATTAAATGCACTATAGTTCGTTGATGACGGATGGTTATTTGGAACACACAAAAAGCACCAAGTATAAATGCACCAAAGTTATAAAATTCTTACGGTTCTGTTAGTCATAAGACAGACATTATAAAAGCATTCGATGGGATTAGATATTAGACAAAGCATCTCATTTAAGTCAGTCAAAAGACGGGAGTGTAGAATGACCGACGTTGCAAGTGCAAAATGTACATTAATTTCGATAACATGACATAATACAGATAGTGACGTAGAACTAACGAAGGGTTTTGTGAAAAAATTTCATTTCCTAAAAGACCTATGAGAAGCAAAAAATTTTGAGATAGAGATCTTGCCAAATATTAAACAAGCCATTGTTCCGAGAATTCAGTCATATCGATTCTCGAAGGTAATGTTGAGCATGGTAACAACCACAATATCATAGGTCCTAAAAAATATGGTATGATAGTCGGTAATGTTAATGTATTAACCGGCACTTTTCAAGTACGGTACTAAGATCACTTTCATATTACTAGTGCACAGTGTGTTGGAAAAATATGTAAAATTTGGGAGAAAATACAACAGTGCGGGTTTGACGAGAGCAAATGAGATTGATTTTACCGTTTCCACAAACTTCTCGTATAAGATCCATTTTTGAGCGCGATAAATCCATTCGATTGCGAAAACCTCTACACTGCACAGCCTCTACTGCCGTTTCATCGTTAAGAACTGCTTGTACCTAAAGAAAAGATATCAACTAATCTACTAATAAAAAGTATTTCAGACTTAAAATTTGATTATTTGCTACTTTAACTTCCTACTCCTCTTACCTGATCACAAGAAACGGCCAAAACAAATAAACCAAACAGCGCGCTTTCGATAGAAAGAAAAATAGTATGCAATCTAAAATATAACAGCGACTGATTGGCAAACTGTTAACTTCCTTCAATTTTTCACTCGTTATAATAATGTGTGGTAATATCCATCAGTTTTCAAAAAATTCACATTTTTGCATGATGTACACTTTGTCCATACGGTCCTTTCCAACCAGTAATACCATATTCATCATGATAGACCCAAGCAATCAGAATCAGACTGGAAAAATTTCATTAAAAAAATTATGTATACGACAATAAAGTAGTAAAAATTACTATCAAAGTAGTTCCAATGACAATAAAAATTTTCATTATAACCTATTATATAAGAACAATAAGGCTCCGAAAATTCAATACGCTTTTTGTTAGAATTATTAAATTCATTCTGTATCAAGAAAAGGGATTGAACGGAGATGCACAAAATATAAAGTATGAATATCTTTGAAAGAAATACCTCAGAGCGTACAGTGAAGATAAACCGACATAAAAAAGAAATTGAAGAAAGTATTTTTGATTGTATTCTCCCACACAGTTATTGACCCAAGGACCTGAAAAGTATTAAAATTAGAAAAATACGTAAAAATAAAACTTTATTAATTTTTTTAAGACTACAAAGTTAATTTTCTTCTCATTATATGATCTGCTGTATTTAAACTTCAATGCACAGATCGCATAGAAAATAGACAATTTAGAATCTCATGCAGTAGTCTTTAGGTTTTCCTGTATACTTCATTTATTTCTATGATCAAAATCAAAAAAGCAAAACCAATATTTTAGTCAAGCAAACGAATTACAAAAAGAGTGACATAATACTATATTTATTATTTATTGTTCTCTTAGAATTATAAGCATTTCTTTTTTTT